AGAGAGAAAGTGAGAAATCAAGCCACCAGGTGAGGACTTGAACCGAGGTTGGCCATGTAGGCGTCCAGCATCCTTAATCATGAAGCCACCTGCCAGCCTCCCCCCCGCCCTTTTTAAAAGATTTATTTTATTTAATTTTATTTATTTGTTTATTTTAATTTGCCCAGAGAGGGACAGAGAGAAAAAGTGAGAAAGCAAGTCACCAGGTCCAGGATTTGAACCACATGGTTCAACCATGTGTAGGTCCAGCCCCCTTAACCACCATGCCACACGCTGGGCCCTGGGCAGAGGTTCTGAAGGCTGGTTGGGAGTGCGCAGCTCATACCCACCTGTGCCAAGATCTGCCACTATCTTCTCTTTGAGAGAAGGGGTTAAAGCTTGGTATCAGTGTCTTTAGTGCAAAACAGCGCATCCAAACAGCGCATCCAAACAGCGCTAAGTCAGGAATTCGCCCTCCCTTAAGACAGAGGCTTTGGAGACCAGCAGTTGCCCTAATGGCTAAGTCTCTCTGTCTCTGTCTTTCTGGCAAGTGCACACGCTCTATTGCAAAAAACCTCTCCCTTCTCCCCCCACAAAAAACAAAAACAAGATAGAGGCTTTTAATAACAGATGGGGATTGGACTCGTCGGAACACGTCAGTATTTATGGTCTTGTCCATCTACCTCGACAAAATCAAGTGCCCTGTTACTGGAAAATTCCTTCCAGTGGCTTATGATGAAACACATTCACCACTATCTGAAAAAATTGTGTGCTGACAGTTAATAATGAGTAGTTAAAGCCGAATATAGTGTCGCGGACTTACCTGCTTAGCTCATTTTATTTCTCACCTTTGTTTTTATTAAATAAATCAACACAGTGTCTGTGTCTCAGCCCTAGAGATTCTGGGAAGAGACCTGGGCATCAAGTAGGTTTACACACTTTCTAGTTCTTCCTACGTGCAGCCAGTGCATCCACAGCTCTGCATCACCTAATGAGACATTAGTCAGTCAGAACTGTCTTGGAACATGATCACGGGGCAGCCAGCAGGGACCATGAAGACGCCCTAAGGACTCCCTTTCCCTCGCTTGGAGACAAACTGAAGCCCAGAGGAATAACACGGAAGCGGGAGGCAGAATTTGACTCCTGGTCCGATCCTCGCTTGTATGGAGATAAACATGGATAAAGTGATTCAGTTTACGGGGCCAGCAGGTTGTGTGGTGGCTAAGGGTGTTGAACTCCCACATGGGTGATGACGGTTCAAATCCCAGACCTTGAGGTTTGTTTTCTCACTTTCCTTCTCTCTCTCTCACTCTGTCTCTCTGGTCAAAGTTAAATAACTAAACATAGTTAAATAAAATAATTCTCTTTTTTTTTAAAAAAAATGTGATTTGGGTAAACAGCCACTTAACGGTCCTAGCAGTTTGACTAAACTGATCATATCTGCTGAAGCAAAGGACCAGAATGTAGACTGGAAGTTTTGTTACTAAAACATATATATAGATAGATAGAGAGAGAGATAGAGAGAGAGAGAGACAGTTCTAAAGCTTAGTGGTTAAGAGCCTTATCCCACATGGCTGACCACGGTTCAAATCTGGCCCTGGCAGCCTGAAAAAAATATCCCCAGCCAAAAATGAAAAGTTATTTGCTGTTAATGTATATGGTAATGTCTTTTTCTGCACTGATTTGCACTGTATTCATGCTAGAAAAGCAATGTTGTACACTGGGCAGGTGGCATGGTGGTTAAGGAGCTGGACTCCCACATGCTGACTGCAATGCGGGTTCCAGACCTGGCAGCTTGCTTTCTTACTTTCCTTTTCTTTCTCTTTCTGGTCAGATTTTAAAATAATAATAATACCAAATAAAAAAAATTTTGTTGATCATTAAACTGTACATTAACCGCAATATGGGAACTAGAAGATGGCATAGTGTTCACATTGCTGGACTCCCACAGGGCCTACCAGTCCTTTCTCCTCCATTCTCCGCTCAGGATTTTGAGTATGCACGAACACGCACCTGGCGTGAGTTCCAAGCTGCCAGGTCCACAGTCAACCACATGGGAGTCCAGCAATGTAACTGCTGTGCCATCTGCTTGTTGATATATAGCAATTAAATGTAAATTAAAAATAAATAAATACAAAATGTTAAGAGAATTTTTGTTAAAGGGCGCATATGCGGTCCAGCAATGTAACTGCTGTGCCATCTGCTTGTTGATATATAGCAATTAAATGTAAATTAAAAATAAATAAATACAAAATGTTAAGAGAATTTTTGTTAAAGGGCGCATATGCGCACTGGAGAGATGGAGAGACAGAAAGTGAGAAATCATCCCCAAAGGAGGATGGCCGGGACCAGCAGTTAGCATAATGCTGGACTCCCATGTAGTCAACCGCGGTTCGAGTCCTGGACCTGGTGGCTTAAGCTCACGCTGGGTGCGTGTGCGTGCGTGCCCAAGATCCAGAGAGGAGAATGGAGGAGAAGGGATTGCGGCGTGGTCATCCCCGCTGGGGGGTGATTTCTCACTTTCTGTCTCTCTGTCTCTGTCTGTCTGGTGAGCCCACGCGCACTATAGCAAAAACCTCTCCAAAAAAAGAAAAAAAAATTACTTTCTCCTTCTGCAAAATGGGGTATACCTACTTACATGTTTCCTGATGCAAATGATAAGTAATAAAAGATTAAAAAAAAAAAAAAGGAGGATGGCCACACGGAAGTCGCTTCTCCTCTAGTCTCTCAGGATTTGGGGCCACGTGCACACGCACATGGTGTGAATTCAGCCACCGGATCCAGGACTCGAACCACCATCGACTATGTGGGAGTCCAATGAAATAAACATGACTCCACCTGCTGGTCTTAAAATAAATAAAATTTTAAAATAATTTTTATAAAGAAAAAATATGGGGGCTAGCAGGTGGCGTGGTGGTTAAGGGTGTTGGACTCCCACATGGCCGACTGTGGTTTGCATCCCAGACCTGGTGGCTTGCTCGCTCTCTCTGTCCCTCTCTGGTCAAATTTAAATAAACAAAGTAAAACAAATAAAATAACTTTTTTAAAAAGAAAAAATATGCTCAAAATTAAAAAAACATGTGTGATGTGTGCCCAAAATCTCAACAAGATGGAGAAACGGAGGGGGGATTGCAGTGTGGCCACACCCACAAGGAGGTGCCTTCTCCTTCTCCCTCTCTCTCTGTCTCTCTGTCTCTTTTTTGGGTAGCAGAGGAGCCCCTAGCAGTAGAATAATTATATATTATATTGTATGTAATATATATTAATAATATATTAATCTAATATATTATATGTAATCATATAATAAAATATAATAACTTTTTAAAGAATAATTGAATTTTATCTATTATTATTTTAAAATTTGAACGGAGAGAGAGAATGAGAAAGCAAGCCGTCAGGTCTGGGGCTTGAACACATCGTTCACCATGTGGATGTCAACACCCCAACCACCATGGCATCTGCTGGCCCCATTGATAAAAACTGTGTATTAGGCCAGCAAGTGACCAGCAGGTGGCATGGAAGTTAAGGTGGCTAGATCCCATGTGGCTGGCTACGTGGTTTGAGTCCTGGACCTGGTGGCTTGAACTCATGGTGGGCACATGTGCGTGTGTGCCCAGGATTGTGTGTCCCAAATCCTAAGAGTATAATAATGGAGAAAGGATTGTGGTATGGCTGTCCTCCCCACAACCCCGGAGTGATTTCTCAACTTCCCTTTCTGTCTCTCTCTGGTGAGCACACATGCCCTATAGCAAAAAAAAAAAAAAAAAGGATGCTGGACTCCCTTAAATTTCATATACTGTGGGCATTTCTGTGGAAATGAAGCCTTCCCCCTCTGTATTAAGATGTCCACAGGAAACTTCTAGATTAATCACAGAATTACCATATGATCTGGGGCCAGAAAGTGGCATGGTGGTCAGGGGAGCTGGACTCCCACGTGGTCAACCACTGTTCGAGTCCCAGATCTGGTGGCTTGCTTTCTCACTTTCCTTCTCTCTGTCTCTCTCACTCTGTCCCTTTCTGGTCAAATATAAATAAATAAATAAAGTTCAATAAAATAAATCTTAAAAAAAAAAATTACCATATGATTGGGGCTGGCAGATGGCTTGGTGGTTGGAGCACTGGACCCCACATGGTTGACCATGGTTCGAGTCCCAGGTCTGGCGGTTTGCTTTCTCACTTTACCTTTCTCTCTTTCTCTTGTCTCTCTCTCTCTCAGGTCAAATTTAAAATAATAATAATAACATCAAGTAATTATTATTATTATTTATTTCTTTTCTTTTGGAGAGGTTTTTGCTATAGGGCGCGTGCGCTCGCCAGACAGACAGAGAGAGACAGAGAGACAGAAAGCGAGAAATCACCCCTCGGGGGGATGGTCATGTCGCAATCCCTTCTCCTCCATTCTCCTCCTGGGATCTTGGGCACGAACGCACATGCACCCGGCGTGAGTTTTAAGCCACTGGGTCCGGGACACGAACCGCGGTCGACTATGTGGGAGTCCAGCGACATAGCCATTACGCTAAGTGCTGATTCCCTGCAAATAATTTTTTTTAAAAAAATAACTGTTTTACTTAACTTTATTTATTATTATTGTTATTTTCCAGTTTGA